GTTTACTTGTTAAAAGTATCTAAAGCTAATGGTTTTCGATATATTTGTTTTTAAAAGTTCCAATGCATTATTTGTCCCATTTTTATAACATAATAATCAAGTTGCTTTGGATAATATCTGAGTAGCGTTGCTATGTTTTCTAATGTTTGTCATAATATTGGTTTAACTTCATGAATAATTTTAAGTTGACAATGAGTTGTTAAACGGCATGCAGTATATGTTTGATGAATATTCTGATATGCATTTAATGTACGGAGTGGCAAGATGTAATGCTTTAAAAACAAATATTTCGAAAACTATTACATTTAGACACAAGTAAACCTTTTTATGCTGTGGAAGTACGAGAAAATCAGATTTTTCGGTCAGTTGTTGTATACAGGGGAGCACAAAAAAGTTATGATAAGTTATTTACCGAAATGGTGTTGTAAGTGGCGCCCTCTAGAAGTTTGGCTATAAAAACGGATTCTTGTTTCTCATACTGGAAGATCTACCTATACCGAGTTTTAAAAATCTGAAATACTTCTCAAACAATGAGGAAAAATAGAAAAAAATTGTAACTTCGCAAACTATCAACTTTTGGACTAAGGTATGCTTAGGTCAATTCACATATTTTGGACTTTAGTATCTCCAGTTTCGAGATTTCCCAACTTTTCGCAGACCGAAGGAGATGAGTGACAATGTTTTTCGTCATGTAACATCCACAAAAACGAATATCTAAAGTTCGTAACTTTTCGCGATTAAAATATTTTTTCGTTAATTGGCTATGACTTGGAAGTAAAGTAATGATAAAAAACAGAGAGCATTTTTCACATTGTGCTTAACTGAAATGTACCTTGCGGAACACTGAAATTGCTATATTTAAGATCAGATATGATTATACTGTCGATTTCGTACGAACTGGTTAAGTTGCGATTTCTCCGTTTCGACTGGTAGTTACACTAGGCGCATTCACCTTTTATTGAAATGTGTAATCAAGGCTCAAGGATAAAAGTATAAGAATTCAGAGTATATCAAATATTTTTAATCGATTTGGAATATATTAGAAACCGAAGATAGACAGATTTATAAATTCTTACGTTGGCAAATTCTCAACATAAAAAATTTAAGTTTATCCATGCAAGAAAAATTAGGGATTCTTTTGTCTAACCATCCCAAATAAAGTTTTCAGCCTTGTACGTAATAAAGTTGAGATAATTGGAAATTAGAAAACATACATGAAGAGAGTTCGAGAATGTTATGATAATTCAAGTAGACTTGATATTACTCAATAATGTTTGTAATATAAATACGAGAAGATTATAAATACACAACGGAAAGACTTTGTGACAAGTTACAGATAGAACAATACACATTGAACAAAATTGTTAGCTAAAATAGAAAAAAAAACATTTTTTCATCAGCTGATACAAAAAAATTATGATTTATCTGTTCACTCACTAATCACGAGTTAAGACACATGACGGTCCTAACGGATTTATCGCTTAATCTGTTGCGGAGTTCCGTAATGGTTAGTGCAGCTCTAGAAATTTCCCGTCTGATGCAATTGTAGGTATCAGTAAAAATATCTTGTCATTAAACTAGATTTTGGAATACATTTTCATGCCTTTTCCACCACTCGTGCATCAAAGACAAAATACGGTTCATCATGTAGAACAAAAACATAATTTCATAATTTGCCATCAAGCATCAAGTACTTTGAAAATGCTTGACCTCAAGTCAGGTAGAACAATTACAATTTCGTGAATCCTTAAGTTTAAATCATGATGAGCACATCGGACTATCTTTGCAGGCGTTGAAATCTTTTTGATAAGTGTTTCGATTCCTCTAACTCCGTTCATGTACATATAGAAAATATGAACAACTCACCTTTGCCGTCGATGTTTGTTGTTGTCTAGATGAGTAGTGAAGATGAGCGTGTGTGCGCGTCAGGCGCGACTGTGGAATGTCGTGTCCGGTATGTAGGGAGGAAGGAGCGAAAGTTTGAGGGTTGCAGAGGAGTGAAGCGCGCCAAACGCGGCGGTGGCTGTTGCAACCGCCTCCGAAGACATGCGCCTGTCATTGCGGGGGATATCATTAGCACTGCCCACGTGTTTTGACCTTTGGAGTCAACGTTAAAAAACATGTTGATTGAAAAAAATGGCATCAAGTAGTTTGACTCTGCACTTATCACGCAACGCCCTTATCGGCACATAAAGGAATATTCTCCAGACTCTCTGAGAAAGAAGTCAGTCAAACAGGTCCATACAATTAAATCATAGAAATTTTTCCGTGCCCTCCGGTAGTGCATCTCGTCGCCTTTCCCCGATACATAACTATGCTGTTGCGCGGCAGAAATACAAGTGATTCCATACCAGAACACTCATCACGGTCGGCGAACGACGCAGGCAGCAGACGCAGCCGATACCTTCCCGTTGCGTCTCCAGCAAATATTTTTCAGTGATAATGTACAGAGAAATCTATGAGGCGTAAAATATAGGGTGTAAATGTTATGATAGTTACCATTTAAATGGGTGATAAAGGGGGTTGAAAGAAGCAAACAGTTTCATATAACATGGGGGTCAAAACGGCATTTTTTACAGAAAAGCGACTTTAAGTAAAATAAAATCTGACAACACCGCAATGCCAGTCGCAAATTACGACGGAACGCAGTGTTGTGCTTCAGTTGTTATTGGACCAGCCCCATAAACCATCCCTTTAGGTTCTCCCCAATACCAGAAATCCATCGGATTGAGATCAGGAGATCTTGCTGGCCATTTTCGAGAATCAGGAGCATTTCGACCGATCCAGCGATTTGGATAATGTTCATTCAAATACTGAATGACGCCTCTCAAAATGTGTGTTGGTGCCCCGTCATGAAGAAACCACAAATTCTGTCTCCGTTGTAATCGCATGCTGTCTAAGGTCTGTTCCAAAAGTTCTGGTAGGTTATTGGCCAGAAAGCTAAGGTATCCTTCTCGTGACAACTTTGGGAATAACTCGAAAGGACCAAGTACCTGATCGTCAAGAATACCCGTCCAAATATTTTTTTAAAACATTGTTGGAAATGACCTTCACGAATGGTATGAGGATTTTCTTGGGCCCACGAGTGAGTATTATGGAAATTTAATATCCCGTCTCGCGTAAAAGTACATTCATCCGTCGCTCGAAGGTTTTTAAAAAATCCGGATTCTCAATGTTTTTGTGCAAAAACCACTGTCAGAATGTTAGTCTGCGAGGATAGTCTTCTGGTAACAAGGCCTGCACTTGTTGAACATGGTAGGAATAAAGAAAATTTTCCCGTAGGATTCTATAGTCTATTGGATACGATAGTCCTACGCGGCGGGGCCTAATTCCCGAGTGCTGATATCTGCATTGATTTCCATGATATTTAAAATTTGTTCCTCCTGCTCTACAGTAACCTGTCTTTCACGAGTGCGAATATTGGTGGGCTGAACACTTCCTGTATCTCGAAGTCTTTGGTACACTTGCTCAAATGTCCTGTCTGGGTGTACCCACTGGCGAAATCTGTGGCGATAAATTTGAGCTGCAAGATTTGAATTCTGACGAGCTTCACCGTAAACTAACATGTCGGCGAACTCTTGATTCGAGAACATTGTAAAGAAACACGACGACGTACGCGAACAAAAACAAAACAACAGGCTCGATGCCCGATAACTAACCACTGTTACCGTTTGCGATCGATTGCCGGTTCGATAAGTGTGATGAAAGGCCGACGCGCTGTTGTCATGTGTGTTTTAAATATTTAATTCAATGAAACTTACTTACTGACTACAAATTTTGGCTTAACTTAGAAAAACTTAATGCCATTTATTTGTTAATTACCCAATTTAAAAACGTTTTAGATTAGATTATAAAAATTAGTAAGATTGTGGTGATTGTGGTCGATATAAAGCACTTAAAGTTGTAAATTATAAAGCCATTTAGACAAAAATCTATTGACTTTTGGACCATGGGTCATATGAACCTTTTGACTTGTTTTGACCCCCCTATTACTTATTTCAATAATGACCACCATAACGTTTACACCCTGTATATCTAATAGTTGCAGAGAATTATCAATGTTTGGAGAGTATCAATGTACCAGAAGCAAAAAATTGAGGTAAAACCTCCACCCCCAGGTTTTTTCAAAAATGATCAGGATAATGAGTCATCAAAAAAACGAAGTTAGAGCGATTTTCACTTTTTTCGTTTTTGGCCACCACTAGATCGAAAACTACAAAGTTTTTACATGCTTAAATAGTCATTATAATATGAAAGGCACGGAGAGGAAGCACATTTCGATGACAAAATACACTATTTGTCATGATAAATACCGAAAATCTGAACTTTCTCTTTTACAATATCTAGCATTTTGATGATCATCTTAAATTAGAATACTGCATAACAATATATTGAAATATGCTTACTGTATTCTTGCTTAGAAACCATACAGATACTGTGTTTGAATTTTAGATCAGATCAATGACGCTAGCAGAGACTATCATACCGAATTCATAATATTTTTAATTATTTTTCGTCGGTCATTTTGTACATTTGTAAGGATACGATAAACATTTTTTTATAGGTTTCATATACTAAAGATCATATGTGCCGAACGTGCGGTAAACAACATGGCGAGTGTTATTAATTAAAAAGCAGCAGTTCAGCTAGTCCTGAGGTAATAGTATATGCTTTTTTTATTTATAGACAGGCGTCCTCGGTTAAACTATGAATGAATTCGTTAGAAAGTATTATATGTTAAATTTAATCGGGGTACAAACCAAAAGCATTATTTTTCCTTAAAACGTTAAAATTTGAGAAGGATTTCAACACGTATTCGTCGCTCCTGTAAAATGTGAAATTGGCGAATACTATCTTCAGGCTTACGATGGCAGAGTAGTAACATTGTGTACACAATCCATCAAAATCCGAGCAGTAGAGGAAAGGTACCTAATTTCGGATAGTTTTTTATTTTTCTTAATTTTTTGAAAACGAACCTATATTTTATTTTGCTATTTCAGGTTATGATTCAATGGGGATCAGTAAGAAACAAAATATAGTCAAATAATTATTATTATAACATTTTCATACATTTTAAAAATGGTCGCCTAATTTCGGACAAACTGGTTCCTAATTTCCAGTACAAAAATATATTGCCCACAAACGAAAACAATTATTCCAAACAAACGTCGCTTGTCACTATTAGCACATTCCTCATGCACCCATTTGTGACATTTCCTGCATCTGATCCATTGTTCTTCTCTGACGTCCTCCGAAAATAGACCATTACAAAACAAACACTCGCAATTCACATCACCTGCGTCCATATCAGAATCATCATCAGATACAGGATTCTCGTCGGAATCGCTGGATGAATCGTCGACCCAAGTTGGCTTCTTTTTTTCGTTATTTTAAGCGTTTTAATCGTTGCTTTATCTTTGTTCTTCGTTTTAGACGGACTTAAAGACCTTTTCACAGTTTTTTTATTCTCTAGCGACTCTTTTCTTTTACTTACCCCTCGCCTTCCTTTCCGAATGCCTTGGCCTAAATTTTGCATTCCGCTGCATGATGGAATAGCAATGATATCTTCTCGTCTTATGAGATTATTAATACGTTTTGAATTATTTTCCGCCCCAGACCTTTTACCATCAACGTCTTGTCCCTTCTTTGCAGGTATCTTCTCAATGGGTTCTCTTTGGTCTCTATTCCCTATCATTTCTTTTTTTTTGGGTGGGGTTCGTTCTCTTTGCCTCTCAGCTCTTTTCAAAATCCACTCACAGAAATTTGTGCATTTGCACATTTTAGGTAGGCTTGGCACACCAAGCTGCAGATCTGAAAAGCAGTTATGTTGCGACCTGGATTACTTTTGAGCCATGATAGTATTGATTGTGAGTAATAAGTCTTAAAAGGAGACATAAATGACAAGTCTAATGCGCTGCAGTTTGTGTGAGGTATGGGGAAGGATGTAGACGATTGTTACGTGATGGTTACGAGCCGTTATAATCAGTTTCAAGTTTCTAGTGTGGCTGTAGTGGCCATCAAGGATAAGTATGTAAAACTGGATCCTCTCCTGTTGGTCTAACGTGAGCAACAAAATGTTCAAAGCACTGGGTAAATATATTTTGCTGTATCAACTATGGATTCCTCTAACTCTAGTGGCAATGCAGGCTTTCTCCCAGGTGGAGCTGGTGAACTTGGATGTTTGACGTGTCTTCTAAAGTAGACTTTGGGACGTTATTCGTACGTGAAGCTTTTAAATAGACCATTTCCTTTATTTTACAGCCGCAACAACCTTTTGCATGTTTTCTGGAGAACATTCTTTATGTTTCTTACTTCTTCCGGGCATTTCTAAAAATAATATTAGCGTAAATTTCATTAAAATCTGTGTCCCAATTTCGGATATCCGAATTTGAGATTCTTGTTCTATCCGAAATTGGACAAGTGACTTTTGATATATTTACACTGGGATTTTCACGATAATCAAACGAAAAAAAATTCTAATGAAGAGAGCTGTAAAAAACTCTACTAACATGAAATCGTGTAAAGGGTTGCAATTCTTGTCCTAACGGAAATAGGAAACCATAAATTAAATAGAAAGGTTTCTACAACGGTCTTCCAAAAATGTGCATAGCTTCATTCGCATTCGCTCAAAAACATCGGTATCCGAAATTAGGAAACCAACCGAAATTAGGTGTCTTTCCTTTACTTCTCAAGTTATAGGCGGTTATAAGATTAGCGGACAGACAGAGCGACGGAAATGAATGACTTGGTTTTTCGTGATGTACATGTTCTATAACATCGAAAAAACGTAATATCTTATTTTCGAAAATGTTCACAATTATAATACTTCCTCGTCAGTAGGCGTGGGAAATAAAAATGACGCACTCTATACTTCACTCGCAATTCTGGACATATTGACTTTGTAGGTATACACATCGCGTACGTACGCTCTGGTATGGTTATTATTTGCCGGCCATAAAAATCATCGTACCTTGACATAATACCGTAGAATAGAAATGAAAAAATCAATGTTGGTTCGGCAAAAATTGAAACTATGTGCTTTGGATACGCGTGATCTGATTAAACTTTCTTACGTTTTAGTCATGTAAGATAATGAATATGATGGAGAAAAAGTATTGTGGGTTTAATTTTTTTTAAATGCTCAAAGACAGCTTTCGTACGCCCTGGTATTATTTGTTTGAAGAAGATGTACTTAAAATATCTTCATATTCCCAGAAGACTGGTGAATGTCTGTGCGTAATTTTGCACCTGAATAACTACAGTCCGCTTGTTGTTATCCTATCTGATTATCTATATTCAATAAATTGTTACATCGCCGGGACATCGATGACCATCGATGCCCGCCAGCAAAAAAATCGCTTCTTAACGACAAATATACGGAGTAATATCTGTGCGAAATGTACCTATTAGGAGTAGAGTCCTCCACATGAGACACGACATCCCTGAAGCGTTAACAACAAACTTTAAACAATCTTCTTTTTATCTTCACTTCCCATGCCAATTGTAAAAGCAGAAAATTTCGAAAATGTCACGAAAAAATGTGACATTCATTTCTGTCGGTCTATCTATTTGTCACACCGCTAATCCTTGGCCCCTCGACTTTAAAAGTACCTCTCGAATTTTTGAGATTTTACTAAAATGTCAAGGAGGAAATGGCATTGTAGGTTAGATCCAGTACCAGTAGCTACATGTAAAAAATGGATAAAACGCCCAAATTCTGTTTCTTGACGTATCTCGATTTCTTGAGTCAATATATTCATACGATTCTAATCCCTATAATCTTCGCACCTATAGACATATTTCACATATAGGTTTCCCCGTATATTTGCCATTAAGACTTAGAATGATTGCCATGCCTTTTTTTGGTTAATTAATAAAACACAATGATAAATATACTAAGTGACATATAAATCCGAACACCCAGTTTAAATGGTTTTATTTTAATAAAAGTTGGTGAATGTTTTTATCTTACTGTAAATAACAAGTAAAAAAATGTTCAGCCTTATCAGTTGGACATTCCAGTTTTTATACTGCTTTTTTTTAATTCACTAACGCTCTAAAAATGAATATTTCAGCCGCAGTAAAGAATCAACGTTGGCGGATTTTGGTTCTTGACATCCTTTACGATCGGTTACGATGCCTAGAGTACGGAACCTGTACGATTTCGTCAACTTAGTGAGTTTGATAGGGGCCTATAGTGGGACTTCGGGAAGCTGGACTTTCTTTTCGGGCAATTGCAGTTAGAGTGCAAAGAAGTGTAGACACTGTCGTTAGGTGTTGTCAGGCATGGCTTCGAGAAGGCAGTACGCAAAGAGCAAGGGGCACTGGACGCCGCCGTAGAACAACAGACCGTGAAGATCGCCGCCTAAGATTATTGGCCTTAAGGGGCCGTTTCTCCACTACCAGGCCCATTGCAAATGAATGGTTTGCAGAACACGGAAGACCTATTGGCATGCGAAGTGTTTACCGACGAATGAGAAGTTTTGGCTTGTTTTCATACCGGCCACACTTTGTCCTCCCTTTAACTCGAGAACAGCGACGTAATCGCCTTGAGTGGTGCAGACAACGGTCACTCTGGGATCAGGAATGGAACAGTATTGTCTTTAGTGACGAGTCTCGATTTTGTTTAGGCATGCACGATGGTCGTGCCAGGGTTAGAAGGCGACGTGGTGAAAGGAGGAATCCACAGTTTTTTGTTGAAAGACATGTTCATCACACTGTTGGAGTTATGGTTTGGGGTGCTATAGCTTATGGTTCCAGGTCACCTTTAATATTCATCAGAGGTTACATGAACGCGCAGCGTTATATCCACGAAGTTCTAGAACCCCATCTTTTACCCTATCTTGACACCCTGGCAGATCCAACTTTCCAACAAGATAATGCCCGACCACATGTTGCAAGAGTCACAATAGACTTCTTTCAACATAATGATGTCACATTGTTACCATGGCCACCAAGATCTCCCGACTTATCCCCAATTGACCACGTGTGGGATATGATGGGTAGGAGATTGCTCAATTTGCAACGTCCTCCTCAGACGCTAGAAGCACTTCGAGAGGAGTTGGTGGTTGCCTGGAATGAGATACCACAGGAGGACATTGACCACCTGATCAGAAGCATGCCTAGGCGCGTTGGAGAATGCGTAGCACATCAGGGTGCATCCATACATTATTAAAGGTCAAAGGGCTTTAAAGCAGTGCAATAATTTTGAAATTTTTATCATTTACTTATTATGCTTCATTAAGTACTTATACAAAATTTTATTAAAATAAAACCATTTAAACTGGGTGTTCGGATTTATATGTCACTTAGTATACTAAACTTATCTGTAGGTCTTCTTCGTTAGGCGCGGCAGAGGTATCCTCAACTCTGGTCAAAAAGTGGCCAGTAGTGGACACTTCACTGGGCAGGGGCTGCTTGCCTCGTTGCCAACAATTATAGTAGTAAAAAAAAACCCTAGAGAGAGAAAGACTATTTAAAAATCTACTCTACTCTCTGTCTGATATAAAACTACTCATTGGAAACAATCGCACATGAAGCAAAACCATGTACATTTAATTGTACAAGAAAAAAAAAGCAAAGGCAAAAAAAAGATAAAGATGTACTAAACTAATATGCCATTGTTCTAAAAAGTTATGGCAGCTCAAAAATAAAAATCATGATCAATGTAATAGAATGTGCCATGTAGGCGCTGCCCCCATATTAGAATACGTAGAATGTCCAATAAAATCCAAGAATTTCAATAAGCAATAATAAATGTATAAAGATCTATGAAATTGTTAATTAGAATGATATTTTCCCTGTTCCCATCAGGGTTTTTTTTCAAGAGGATGGCTTCCACCAATTTGCACAACTGCAACAGGATTCAACCAACTGGAGGAGAAAGGATGATGATTCTCTACTGTTTCTATTGACTAAAAGAAAGCAGATATTGAACTAATGTCATCAGGACCCGCATTAAGGCACGTGGTCCGAAGGTATATCAAAAAGAACTTACCGCTGAGGGTCAAAATAAAAAAAT